TGACAGCTGCAGGGGCAGATGTCATGTCCTGCGCAGCAGCTGTTTAGAAAAGGAAGAATGCTCGATATTTTTTGGCTGGGAGCAGGGATCCCAACCTTACCTGGGAGGATATTTCCTCTCTTACCTCCTCCACTCTTTGAGTCCTCACAGCAGTAACTGATGGAGCACCTCAGAGATGCTTTGCAGGTGCTGGTAACTCCCTTCCACAGTGGCCCTTGCTGAGGATTTGAAGCATTTTTTGCTCAGGATGACCCCGTGGCTCCTGCAGAACATCTCCTCCCACGCTGAAAAACATTTGAACGTTGCTGTGTCCCTGCTTTGATGTGTTTCCCGTCAAACCACAAATGATGGATGAAACTTGGTGTTCCCCAGACCATAAAATGCAATCTGTCCTTCTGCACACTCCAGAGATCCTGTTTCATGTGGCCAGTGGAGCAAATCCATTATTTATGGAAGGAAGGAACACAGCAGGACCCACCTAACCAAACCTTGGTGTTTCTTTTTTCCTTTCTCAGGATTTTGTGAACCATTTCCATGTCCTCCTGCCACAAGGAATCAGCCCATCTAAGCACAATATCCATGATTTCTTCCGGAAGATAAAACTCGATCCAGACAACTATCAAGTTGGAAGAACAATGGTAAATGTTCATCCACAGCTCAAACTTTAGGAAACACATATATCACTTCCCTATGATAAATTAACATCTTTATATGTGGTTTTAATTAGTTCATGTGTTTTTGTTGTTTGCCAGAAGTCAATGGCTTAAACGAAACTTTGAATATTATCAACACAAAATAGTAAGGAATAATATTGTTTTGTGTTCAAACGTAAAAAGGACTTGTTGTAACAATGCAGCCTCCAAAGAACTCTCTCTGTGTGCAGGCACAGCTCGATACGACGGTTGTCATTTTGCATCCCTTGATGGGAAAGCAGCAGCTCTGTAATTCAGAGCTTGGACAGTCACAGGCTGTTGTTGAAGCTGCAGAAACCTGTTAGAGGTGACTGCACTCAAATCAACTCCTCAACTTTCCTTGGGTCATGCAGGACACACAAACCAGGAGGACTAAAATCATTTGGCTCATGAGTTGGGAAGCTATCCATGCTAGTGGTTTTTTAGGTTTTTTTGTCTTGTTTTGGCCAGGTTTTCGTGAAGGAACGGGAGCGGCAGCTGCTGCAGGACCTGCTGCACCAGGAGGTGCTGCGGCGGATCACGCTGCTGCAGCGCTGGGTCCGCAGTATGCTCTGCAGGAGGCAGTTCCTGAGCCTACGGCACGCTGCCATCAGCATCCAGGTGGGTCACAGTGCCTGCTTTCCTTCAGGTTACAACCCTACAGCTCTGATGGGTAAAATCTGGTCCCCTCGCCAAGGAAGGAGCTAACAATCAGGATTTATTTTGCCCAGGGATGTGGTGGCTGCCCCAATCCTAGCGGTGTTCAAGGCCAGGTTGGATGAAGCCTTGAGCAACCTGATCTAGTTGAGGAAATGTCCCTGCCCAGGGCAGGGGGTTGGGACTAGATGATCTGTGAGGTCCATTCCAACCCTTAAATTCTGTGATTCTATGATACCCGAAAATCTGTAACTCTGCTCATAGGAAATATGCAGCAGAATATCCTTTGCACAACTGAGTTTTCAACTCTGCTAAAATCAAGGAGTAATCAGCTCTGGAGCATGTTACTAATGCCATGCCAGTAATGTGCTCAGCAATTAGAGGTATCCAAAGTATTTATAGGGCACAGTGAACAAAACGCTGGATGAAGCCTTGAGCAACCTGATCTCGTGAGGTGGTGTCCCTGCCCAAGGCAGGAGGTTGGGACTGGATGATCTATCTGTAAGGTCCATTCCAACCCTTAAATTCTGTGGTTTGACTCCTAGTGCCATAATAATGGGGAGAACAGGTGGACAGGTGCTGTTGCAGCCCCACACAACACCCGGTTACAAGGAACCACCTGCTGTGTTTGCAGAGATTTTGGCGTAGCTACCAGAGCCGAAAACAAGGCCAACCCTCCCTGGACCCTCTGGTGCTCAACAAAGCTGCCATTGTTCTCCAGACCCACTGGCGCGGCTTCGTGGAGAGGCGAAGGTTCCTGCAGATGCAGTTTGCAGCCCATCTCATCCAGAGCTGCTGGCGGGAGCACGCCAAGCGGCGGCACGACGCAGCCACCAGCATCCAGGCGACCTGGCGAGGGCACCGCGCCCGGCAGGCGTACGCTGCCCGCAGGAGCAAAGCTGTCTGCTTGCAAGCAGCATGCCGGGGATACCTGGCACGACAAAGGTAACGCCGCGGCCTCCGTGCACCAGGAGGGTGTTAACCTGGTGGTGCTCACTGGGGAAGGAGGTGCTTGGTGTGAATTGAGGCACTATGGTGACTTACAGAGCACGGTGTCCCCTCATGGCATCCATCACCCTCTCCTGACCTTGCCCTGCTCCTTTGTTTGTCCACGCTTTCTAACAAAGGAGTTGATTTAGCTGTGCGTCCTGCTCTCAGAATAAGCAGAGCCTATTTCAGGTTGGAGCACGTAGGCAGTGCAAAGCCAAGGCCATAAATACTCGTGAGGGCTTTTTTTTTTTTCCCCTTGGCAGCAGCACCAGTTTAAGTAGCCTATTTTTAACTCAGATTGCCTCACCGATCTGGTTGCTGCGCTGGCTCGCAAGGGAAGGAGATACTAGAGCCGGCCGCTGCGGAGGGGACAGGGTTTCCAGCCATGCCTTGGCTCACTGGCCACGGGACAGGTCATGATTCATGCTCCAGAGGTGCTGCCTGCATGGTGTGGAGCACCTTGACGTAGCGTGGAAGATTTGGGAGCTGCAAAGAGCTCTTGGCACCGGGCACAAGTGCCTGCTAACTGTTCCAGAGGCAGGCCAAGCAGGATGGCGAAGACGGAGAAGCCAAGGGGGTGCAATGGGTTAAGCTTTTCTAGCTTCAACAGCTTACAAATGAGCTAGACCAGGGATGGAGGCTGGAGCTGCTGCCATCGGCACGAGGGGAGCTTTCAGGTGCGTTGGGGCAGGCCTTGGGTAGCTTAGATGGCAGAAGAGGAGAAGACTGAGAACTGAGCGTACCCTCGCGTTGCCTTGTGCCAGATGTGCCAGGAGGGTTGCTTGAGTTGCTGATGGTAGTGTGGTGATGATGGCACTGGTGATGAGATGCCACCAGTGCAATGCCTTGAAGGGTCCTGAGTGGGCACATGGGTTCAATACCCTGGTTTTCTGCTTTCTTGCAGGTTTAGAGCCTTGAAAGAGCAGCGATTAAAAGAGCTGCAGCTGGAGAACGGCCTGTCGGGTAGAGAAGAGGATGGACTGGAGGCAGATGATGTTTTGAAAATTAAGGGCTCCGACCCGTCTAAGTGGGAGGACGGCTCGTTTGAAGAGCGAGTGAGAGCTATAGAGCAGCAAAAATCACTGATGGAGAATAACCGGGTGAATCACGTGGACCCACTGGATACATCTCTGTACAAAAGGTACGAGAGAGCCAGTAGCCAGAGCGGGATGGACACTGAAGAGGAGGTGGTTGTGAGAGAGAGACCCAAGTCACTGGAGGATCTCAACCAGAAAAAAGTGGTTCGTGCAAAAAGAGAAAGTCGGAGGATGCGTGAACTGGAACAGGCAAAATTTAGCTTGGAGCTGCTGAAGGTGCGGTCCACGGGGGGGCTGTCACCTTCAGAAGAGCGGCGCTGGTCCACCGAGCTCGTGTCTGAGGCACTTCATTCCCCTCAGGGAACCCCCGAGAGCGAGAGCTCTCAAGGGAGCTTTGAGTTGTTAAGCTGTGAAGATACCCCAAGTAATAAACTCGTCTCCTTAGCTTTAGATGAGCACGATGTGCAGTCACTTTCCACGGACTCCCTGCCTAGCAGTCCCCAGGCTCACCTGGAGGAGAAGACTTTCTGTGCAGCAGATGTGAACAGCAATTTACCTGGATGTAGACAGATGCCTTCAGACTTGGAGCTGCCTGAGAACCTCACCATGAAGGAGCACATGGTTGGTGACCCTCAGAATGTTATGCACAAGGTGCATCCCAGAGAAACCTTCCTTTCCAGCAACTTACCTACTTTCTATGTTCCGCCACAAGACAGCATGAAGGTGAAACTGATGGAGAATAACCTGAGGAATAAAGCAGTGGAAAGAGAGGAGAGGACAGTAACACTCTCTGAGGTCAGGAAGGACTCTGAACCAGACCAGGGCAAAGCTTTGGGAGAGGAGGAGGAGGAAAAGCCCTCTACTAAGAGAGAGGAACGTGGGACAGTGACAGCAGCACAGGCCCTTTCTCCAGACTCTGTCATCAAGAGGCTGGAAAAGCTCAATGTGGAGAAGGAGGAACGGCAGAAACAGCTTCAGCTGCAAAATGAGAAGGAGATGATGGAGCAGATCCGTCAGCAGAAGGAAATTCTGGAAAGACAGCGCAAAGCCTTCGAGCAGCAAGGGAGGGTGGAGGCTTTGCAGAGGGCTGAGCAGAGCAGAATGAAGGACCCCTCCCTCAAACCAACCAAAAAGACAGACAACAGGCCTCAGTCAGTCCTCATCCTGAACTCCCAGAGCAGAGGGGAGCACAGCCCTACTCCAGGTGTGAGTCCAGTCTCATCAGTGGACATCAAGGGCCTCACTGTTGGGACCAGGGGAAGCTCTCCAGCCCACAGTGCCCCCAAGGACCGACCTGTCAGCATGTTCATAGAGCGAAGAGAAGGTCTGGAACCCCGAGGCCATTCCAAACCATCTCTGGACCCCAAGGACCACCCAGGCAGTCACTTCTCAAGGACAGAGCGTCTCCGGCAACCCTGGGTGCCCAACCAGGCCACTGAGGACATGAGGTCAAGCCCTATGTTCTTCACACCGAAAGACAATCCCTTCGGCCTCCAGTGAGTAAAAGGAGGGTGGGCTTTCTCATAGGCTTTCTCTGTAGGCTTTTTCTTCTGCTAGGGACCTTGTTATATGAGTAGTCCAGAATGTTGTTTCTGGAGACTGTAGAAAACCTGTGGGGAAACAAAGAAAGGTTTCTTGATCTTCTAGCAACGAGCAGGCAGAGGTCAGAGGAAAAGAAACATGCAGTCTCTCAATCTTTGACAGCATTCTATACAGGAGAGATAATCATGGACATTATCAAGTGAAGGGAGTTAATAAAGAGGCCCAATACTGCCTTAATTTACCCTAAATGAACAGTGATAAGAGTTTACTTCTCAAGGTAAAAGATGATGACAAAGTTATTAAGATTTTTGAATCCTAAGAGAATAGAAATGACTCAATGAGGCAAAAACTTCCAGGATTTTCCTTGTTTACTGTATAATTAACACATCCAGCAAAACCTTCTGGACAGTCTGGCACTGCAGATTAAAAACAAGCAACTCTGTGGAGAGAGTTTGGGATGAGAACACGGATTTGACAGTGTATCACTCACGTATGTAATTAATTACAGGTGTAATGGGCTTAGCAGTCAGTCAGCTCTGATTGCTTAATGATGAGTCCAGAGACTGCAGGAAGGTCTTGGGACAACATTTGTTCCCACTCTGTTGTGTGGCTTAAGGTGCCTTTGCCTAATTTTGGGGTGGTTTCAACCACATAGCTCAAAAAGGACATAAACCCCCTGTAAATCCTACTGTGCCCTTCCCAAGGCTCCCAGGGGATAACTGTTGGTACCTCCCAAGTGTCTTGTGGTGTCTGAGCCATTGTGAAGGGAGAAGATTCCTGTTTAAAAGTTATTTTCCTGGTTCATGCGCAGAACAAGCCACAGGGAAAACAAAACATTAAAAATTCCTATATTTTGCTTTTTATTCTGCAACAGAACAATCACATTTGAGAATCCCAAAGTGCAAAGAAAGGTACCATCCATAACCCCCCAATAGGTAGAGCTGAAAGGCAAAACGTTGTAGCTTCTTGTCCTTTGGTATTAACTCAAATCCTGTAGAATTCCAAGCGATTCTGAAACCCCAATTGCAATTTGGTCTTGGCCTGTGCACTTCCACACTCCCACAAGCCAAGCTGGAGTGGTGGGAAGGCTTTGGGGAGAAGGTGACAGATCTCTGTTGTGTTGTGTTTCAGCAGAGAAGCAAATCATCAATGCCTGTCCAAGGGTGAACTAGCAAAGAAGCCATTTAAGATTTCGGGGTCTGGCAGAGGAGAGGTGAGTTGTGGCTTGTTTATTTTCCCTTTTCATGAAATGGGGGGGAAAAAAAAAACCCTTATTCTGACAGTTTTCCCTCAAAAGCTTCAAAGAAGTGAAGTATGAAGCACAAAACATAGATAGGGAAGGGGGGGATGTGATGGCACAGCAACCTTCACACCTTCTCTTAAAAACAAAGATCACTGATTCATAGCAGCTCTGGATAAAAAGGATCTCGTGGTCCTGATGGCAAACACTGTCCAACACCGTCTTGTCTTGGTTTGGTTTAACGTCCGTTTGAGTAACCTCCATGATTGTCCATTTTCACTGTCCTGTCCTGGTTTTTTTTTGTTCTTCCTGGTCCTTTGCTTTTTTTCAATACCACATCCCCTCCATGGGGTGCAGTGTCACTCAGAGATGTCTTAAGCCTACACAATGATGCCAAACATGGGTAGAATCTCCTTTTTTTCTTTTTTTTTTTTTTTCTTTTCTTTTAAAAACCCTTTTGTTTTGTTGTGTTTTGTTTTATCCTTTGGTCAAGCAGGTTCCCAGACCGACCCATAAAAAGAAAGCCCGCATGGCGCGGACACGCTCCGATTTCTTGACTAGAGGTACTTTTGCTGATGGGGAGGGGGATACGGAGGAAGATGATTACGATGGCAATTTTGAGTTCCTTCTCTCCTCTGACCAACCTCCTCACCCCGAGGCGGTGCCTGCAGCCCGGCTGGGGCAGGCCTGTTACAGTGACTCCGAAATGGTAATTTTTTCCAAGGTGATGGGGGAAATGAAACCAAGGGAGCGAGCGGAGCTGCGGGAGCCTTTCTTTGCTAACCTTAGCTGCACTCATCCCTCCACTGCTTCTTTTCCTACTTCCAAGGATGCTATAGATGGGTGAACTTGGCCAACACAGCAGAAACGGAGGCAAAATGGTGGAATCGTAGAATCACAGTCTTGTTTGGGTTGGAGGGGACTGTAAAGCTCAGCTAGTTCCACCCCCTGCCACAGGCAGGGACACCTGCCACTGAACTAGTTGCTCTGAGCTCAATCCAACCTGTACTTCTTGGCTGAGGGGATGTTTTCTGTCTTGATTCCATAGTCTCTAAAGCTTTCCTGGAGCATGGCAACTTGTGTCGCACAGCTGCCGATTTCGGGAGGGTTTAACCCAATAGCAAAGTTCCCCTAGGAACCTTTTGATAAAAAATGGTCTACACACATCCGTAGAAAGAATGAAAGTAAATATTGTCCAAAAAGCAACAGACAGCAAAGGAAATTATATAAATCCTGCACCACTTTTTACTTTTGAGTTTTTATCCTTAGCCTCAGTATCCAATGATCATTCAGTCATAGGAATCATAGAATTTAGGGTTTGGAATGGACCTTACAGATAATGTAGTCCCAACCTCCTCTGCCCCCTCAGTTGTCTGAGCGATACTGGCAGACAGTACCTTAGAGAAAGGAAAACCATGGAAATTGGGCAATAAAAATATAGTGAGAGTCTAAGAGTGTGTATAAAACAAAACCAAACAGAGAACCTGAGAGGCTTTTTCAAACACAGTGACTGGTGTCCCTTGGCAGGGCCTACATGAGCCTGAGCTGCAGAGCATTTGCATCTCGAGCTTAATCTCCCACACACATAAGCTGCTTTTGGAAAATCACACACTGAGATGTTTCAGCAGTAGTAGAAGCCAACAGATTCCAACCCACTCATGGGGGGTTTTTTTCCTGAGGTGTAAATACATTCCCGAAGAAGTGTGGATAAACACCGGGAATCATCTCCTGCTGTGAGAGCTCAGGTGGAGTGTTGGGTGGAGCTTCCTTGTTCCTGTACTCCAGATGCAGTGCAGGATGTGGAGCTGAGTATAAACCCAACAAAACACAAACCCAGCACTTTATTTTGTGCTGCAGCATTGCTGTGGGTCCAGCAAACATCCCATGCGATCCTAAAATCTGCTTTTCCAAGAAAGTCACGTGGCCAACAAGGGCTTTTCATGACTCTTCTGTTAGCAGATTTTATTATAAAGGATACATTTTTTCTCCCAGGATAATTTCCTCACTAGAAGAGAGCAGAGATTTACAAATTCCCATATTTTTTTAAACTTGTTCTTGATAAATTTCCAGGGATTTTGAGATAGGAATACTTGACATTTGATTCAAAGTTGCAGCTTTATGAACTGAGGTCACTTGGCTGCATCTTCGTGCATCTCCCTGCAGGTGGATTGGGAAAGGGAGAGTTTTAGGTAGTAAAATGTGTGGGGTTTACATAGAATCAGGGAATCATTTAGGTTGGTAAAGACCTCTAAGATCCCTGAGTCCAACCTTTAACCCAGCACTGCAGCGTTCACCAGTAAGTCATGTCTCCAAGTGCTGCAGCCCAGAGAGGGCCAGGCCATGCCATACCTGGAGTTCTGTGCTCCTGAAGTCTACCCTCTTACAAAGGGGAAATTTAGCCATAGAAATAATTCCCACTGGAATGCAAAAGGTGCTGGGCTGGTGCTTGGCAAGCTCCACCCTTGGGAGCATCCTGGCTCATTGCACTCTTTGGAAGTGCTTCTTGGGGCTCTACTCACCTGGTTTAACAGCTCTCACTGCATGCAAGTAGTAGTAAGTGCCAACTCTTTTGTCTCTCCTGTGTCCCTCTTCCCCTCTGTTGTCCATCACTGACTCTAACTGGTGGTCAACACTTTCACCTCTCATGTGGTTGAGCTCTGCTTTCTAGCCAACCCTGCCCATGAAGCCACGTGCTCCACACTGCCCTCGACTATGTGTCCTGCCAACGTGTACAGTGTTTCCATCTGTATTCTGTGTTGCAGGTTTGGGACCAGCCCTTTGGCTAGTGGCTTTTCTGGGTCAGAATCGTCACAAGTAGCAAAATTTAAGGACTGTTTCTTTGTATTTATTAGCAGAGCCCAGTTGGGTGTTGCAGATGATGTAGCAGTCTATGATGAAACCAGACTGGTGCAAGTTGGGTTGGTTTGGGTACAAACTTGAGTAGGTTGATGTCTATGAAGACACTTTTGTTGTGTCTTGTGATGGTCACATGAAGCCAAGTCAGGCAGCCACCGCGTGTGGGCTGATATCCATGCGAGTGAATAGCTCCTTCATAAGCTCCTGCCCCTAGCCATGACTTTCTAAAAATGCTCTCTTAGTGTCCTGCTCAGTGGCCAAGGGCTGCTGGATAGATGAAAGAGAAATCGTGTGTGACCTTGTGAAGCTGAGCATGTGATGGCTCAGCAGCTGCACAGTCTGACCCTTTGGTTTCATTGATTTCTTGGCCATCAAGTCACTGACTGTGTTTCCCAGCTGGTAAGTAGAGGCCCACTGGAAACTGATGTTCCTGACCCATGTCTGGGGTATCCCAGAGCAGCAAATACAAAGAACATCTGCAGCCAGAGCTGAAACCTAAGGTGCACCAGTTCATGAGGTTGCTGCTGCAGGTAGAGTTGACTCCAAGGTGCCTTTAAGGCTGAAGGGCTTCCTGACAAGGCCATGATTCAAAGGTTGCTCAAGTTTTTGGCTAGGGAATAGCCAAGGATTAAGCTACCTTGTGGTGGTACATGTCCAAGTGGGAGGAGCAGCTCCTGGCTGTTGTCAGCACATATTAACACCCTTCCATTTTGCACCTCAGCCTGGAGAGCTTTCCTTCAGCAAATAAACTGCAAGCCTTGGCTAGAGAAACCACCCCAGAAATACCTTCTGAGAGCATCCTCCTTTGGCAGAGATGCTTAGAGATAGTGACCTGGGTAACAAACCAGGAGTTTTGCTCCTCCCTCCCAGTCTAAAGCCATGAATTGACACTTATCATTCCAAGTCTCTGTCACCAGCTGATCCCAAGCATGGATGTAGAGCCAGCAGTGAAAGAAGATCTCTTGTCCTAAGCCATTCAGAGGGAGCATTGGGCTTCAGGAAGATCTTCAGTGCAGTACACAGCAGTGCTGCCTGCTGGGATGAGTCACTTGGCTATAGTTACCCCATGGGTGGGTGAAAAGCAGATTGCTCTTTCAGAGAAAAATACGTGGCCCCCTCTTCATCCAGGGGACAACTCCAGGCCCCCAGCTACTGCCAGTTGCCCACACATGATGCTTGTGGTGTTCCCTGCCTAGGGATTTTCTGATGCTGATGCTCATCTTGACATCTGAGAAGGTTTCCCATCCAGGTGAGGACCTTCCCCTTCAGAGCTTATTGGTGGAGAACATCAAACAGAAGGATCTTATGCCAAAAATGCCTTTTAGTCCTTATTTTATAAAGCTGGAAGTTCAAAAGGTTGAAATTACTCAAGGACAAAAATATATCATTGGGGGCAAATATTTTAATAGATCATTTTTAAAGCAAGTAGTAAGTTTGGGCTGGATGCAGATCACTTATATGTGGTTTGAGTTCTTTTTTTCCCAGTGTATATCCACAGTTTGTGTGATCATCACCTAAATGTTTAAGAATGACAGGAACAAACCCCCCGTGGTGGTTTAGGCAGTTTGTGATGTCCCAGTGGTAATTTTGCCTCTTGTGCTGCCATCTCCTGGCTGGTGGACAGGTTAGTCCAGGGGAAAGAATAAAACATTGGAGAAGAGTAGTTGTGTCTATAAATGTAACTCTCCTGCAGCCTATGTTTTATAAAATTCTATTTTAAAATATTTTTAATATAGGAAAAGAAAATGCTTAAAAACTCCATGTCTTCAGCTGAGACGCTGAGGTGATGGGAAGGTGTGGGAGATATTTGACCACCACTTGCCAAATGTTTTCATACAACCTCATTCCCTGTTTTCCTCATGTTGGAAATGTCTCATCTAGGAATCCAGCTCCGAAATCAAAGCTGCAAGTAGAAAATAGAACAAAAATTGATACATATTTTTAAATATGGCAACACTGGTTCTGGGCTATTTCATGGAATCCTGTTAGGTTGAATTATTCCACACTTAAAAATGATCCCAGGGCATTTTAAATGGTAGTAAAAGTGAGATATTTTCTGTTAAACCTGCAAAAAAATCTTAATTTAAAGTGTTCATTTTGATGTCTCCTTGGCACAAAGACTTTGTGCTTCTTTTCTGTAAAGTCCTTCACAAGAGTTGAAGGAGAAGGCTCTGTTGGGACAGACCCAGAGGGTTGAAGGTTCCCTTGGGGCTTAGGAACACCACAAATCACTTCTTCATGGCTAACATGACCCTTCTGGGATAGAGAGCTAGGATGTCTGGATCAGGATGGTGGGACAGTTGTGCAGGCTGAGCAATAAGGACCCAGGGCTTGGTGCACACTGATTTTCATCACTGGTTGCTCAAGAAGAAAGAAGGTTGGACCTTGATGCAGAGCTGGAGCAAGGGAACTGCCTTTCTGTTTTAGGAGTCATTAAAACATTTCTCTAGTGCTGGCTCGACAGGACTGTAGGTTTTCACCTGTAGGCAAATAGAAATAGAGCTAGAACAGGTGAAATACCAAGTTTTTGTTAGGGGCAAAAAAATCATCTGACATCCCAAGAACTGTCTTGATTTTAAACCTTTGTGCTTGGAATCGTTGCAGACAGTGCAGCGCTTCGCCTCGGGGGAAGGTCAGGCCAAACTGCACAAAACCATGTCTCAGGGAGAGATTGGGAAGTTGGCAGCCACCCAGAAGAGCCTGGCTCCAGATGGGAGGTAGGAAACACAGCTGGAGGTGGGAGACAAGTCCCTCCCATATCCCTCATGCTCTCCCTCACCTTATTGAACTACCTGCACTCCTCTGGAGCCTCACCACCCAAAGCCTGCACGAGTTACTCATCACATCCCTCCTACATGACCATGGACGTGCGCAATTAAAAGTGATGTCCTGCTCACCTCACCGTAAAGTTTTGATTACGTGGCCCAGATATCCCATCCCAAACTACCCAGTTGCATGTGGGAAACTTGTTTCTTGCCTTTCCTGAGAATGGGTAGCTGATTTCCCCATTAGAAGTTGTGTGGATTTAAATCCTCCTCTAACGTCAGGAAGGTCCAGGAAATTGGGGTGGTTTTGTGTAGAAGGACATTTTCCTGGTTAAGGCTGTTCCTTTTTCCATGACTTATTTCCAGGCCCCATCGAGCCAAGATGAGGTTCTGGGGGAAGGGAAAGCAGGGAGAGAAGAAGACCCCACGGGAGAAACTTGCTACCCAGTCTGAGCTGCTGGAGCTGTATGCAGAGCAAGAAGGTCCTGGCAGGGAGGTGATTTCTGGCTTGCAGCTTGGTGAAGGTAAGTGGTGGTGGTGGGTGGTGCTAGTGTTGTAAGGAGCAGAGGGACTGGGTTGGAAAATTGGGAAATGTCCATGCTGGTTCATGTCTTAATTCATGGACAGCATCAAACCAGAGGGACAGCAAGTAGGGTAGAGGGTGGGATCCATAACAGATCTTGAGGAATTCCATGTCACTAATCCTCCTGGCCACCATCTGGACGTGGACAGATGTTTCCTTTCTTGAGGGAGGAAATAACTAAAGGAGAAATGACATTTAATCTTCCTGTGAGTACCACACAGGGCTCTTCTGCTCCACAGGTTTTATTCCAATTCCCATCTCCCAGGTTTAGTGGCACAATTATTTTTCATCTGCTCTGTGATCTCTTTCCCCTATTTCTTTATCACCTGTAGAGTTGGGTCCTCACCACCTGACCCCTCCACGGAGTCCTGAGCTGTCTGGGATCTACCGACGAGAGTTCAAGGAGAACAAGGAACCCTCTCCCAAAGTGAAACGCAAGCGCAGTGTCAAGATCAGCAATGTGGCTCTGGAGCCTGTGCAGTGGCAGAATGACTCCCTGCAGATCCTAACCAGTGCTAGTGACTTGAAGAGCATGGATGAGTTTCTCCTGAAAAAGGTAACTCCTGTCCTCACTGCTCCAGCTAAATCAGCACAGACTTGGAGGGAAGACAAAGGCAACAAAGTCAAAATTATCCTGAGGGCAGCACGAGCAACACTAATAATTCATCTAAGGGTGTGCACTGTGCACCAGGGCAGGCCTGAGAGATGTTTTTGGTTTGCATGTAGGAGAAACCATCTTGTAGTCATTATTAACATGGTCTGCCCATGGTGGAGCAGCTGCTTGTTAGTGCTGCTTCATCTCACACAGAGCTCTGCTGCAGCAAGAGGGACATGGGTGCATAAACCCCTTTGGTTTCCCAGATGAATGAACTGGATAACGAGGACAGCAAGAAGGACACGCTGGTGGATGTCGTGTTCAAGAAAGCATTGAAGGAATTCCGACAAAACATCTTCAGCTTTTACTCCTCAGCATTGGCAGTAAGTAACTGGATGACGGGTGAGAACTTCCACCTCCAGGAGAAACAAGATGCTCTGGGTCCTCCTGGTGGTATAGATGTTGCTCCATAAAAATCTGGGCTGTATGAAAATAACTTTTCATTTTTGCTTCTGATTCCTTAAAAGGTGGATGATGGGAAAAGCATCCGCTACAAGGACCTCTACGCCTTATTCGAGCAGATTCTGGAGAAGACCATGAGGCTTGAGCAAAGGGACTGGAGTGAGTCTCCAGTTAAAGTCTGGGTCAATACCTTCAAAGTCTTCCTGGATGAATATATGACAGAGTACAAACCCCTGGACTACACTGCGGGGAAGGTACTTGGCACTTTTCTTATGGCCCTTGAAGATTTGGGGACTGTCTTTCCATGGGGTTGTGCTCTGTAGACACATGGGAACCTCTGCTGTCTTCTCTGCTTTAAGCTGAGCTGGACAACATAAGCAGGGCTCATTGGTTGTGTGTCACTGGGCTCAGCAAGCCCCAGTTCACATCTGGGCTGAGCTGGGCCTTGGCCAACACCAACGTGTAGATATTGTCTCCAGGGGAAAGTTGCAACCAGCTGTGGGTGGTTGGAAAGGCAGCTCCTGGTGCTTCTCTTTCAGTTTTGGGGGTTGTGTTCAGCCTTTGAGGGCCAGTGAAGAGATCCAAGCTTTCCTGTTCTCCTGACCACTTCCCAAGTGAACACACACATCACCATGGGTTGGGTTGCAGGAGAAAGGGACATGGGCAGTGACTGTCCTTAGGTTTGGGAACAGTTTCTAGAGCAGTCAGAGCTTGCATTGTGTCACAAAGCTGATCTCACTTTCTGCTCTATATTGTCTGTGAGGACAACCACAGGATCTCAGGCTGGGCTTGGGAGATGGTGTTTATTGTACAAGTATCACATCATCTGGCTCTTCTGCTCCCAGATCTCCAGGCTGAGCATCATGTTCTCCTTGGGTCTCTTATGTGAGAGCTTTATGTCACTGCTGCTGGATTTGGAGCTGGAGCAGCAGCTAAGCTCAGCCTGAGATGAAGATGGGGATGGTTGTCCAGTGAAATTCCAAAAACAGGGTGATCCATAGGAGAGTTTCTAGAGTGACTCTCCTGGGGCTGCAGGTGCTCTGGAGGATGGGGCTGCAAGGCAACTGGGCAACGTTCAATATGAACCCTCTCTAGTTTTACCTTGGGGTATTGCTTGTAAATACACTGAAATCTCTTTCTTGTAACAGGTGCCAAAAACAGAACGAAAAAAGAGAAGAAAAAAGGAAGCAGATATGGTGAGTTGACTATTCTGTGCCTCAGCATCAAAAAATTAACATCCTTGGGGCCAGAATGATGAGCAGTAAGAGACCTGCTCGTGACACATCCCGTGCTCAGATCTGCACCTCAGCCATGAAAGAATGTGCTAGAGAGATGGTCAGGGTGGATTTGGCTTGCTTGATGAATGATCACTGTGGGTTGCTCTGGGAAAACACATCCCACATCAGTCAAGACAGTACATGTAATGTCAAGAGTTATTATAGATGAACCAAGAGCATAACAAAGTGTTCTGGTTTCGGCATAAATTTATAGTGTGTTTGTTTGCATCACTAATACAGGAGATGGAAGGACATTACACCTCCTGTTTTCCTAAAGGATATGACAGTACTAGGAAGTATGCAGATGCAGGGCAAAAAGAGGCCATGGATGCATAGAAGACCTTCTTAACATGGAGAAGTTGTCCAGTCAGCTTCAGTTTCCATCCTGTTTGCGTGATGGTTCGGTTCCCATACAGGCTGGATGACTGTTGAGATTGTCTATGGAATTGTTGGGCCAAAGTGGGAATAAAAGAGCAAGTAAAAGCAAGTAACAGCTGAAGGCTGGAGAGCTGACTGTGTTCAGCTCCCCATTTTGCAGCAAACTGAGCACCCATCTCCTTTTTCTCACCACCCAACCTTTGTCATGACAGGTGGAAGAGCACAACGGTCACATTTTCAAGGCGACGCAGTACAGCATCCCCACCTACTGTGAATATTGTTCCTCCTTGATCTGGATCATGGACAGGGCTTCTGTTTGTAAATGTAAGCAACCTTTCTCTGGTCGTTTTTCATGTGATTGTGTCACAGTGATCATAGAATCACAGAATTTAAGGGGTGGAATGGACCTTACAGATCATCTAGTCCCAACCCTCCCTGCTGTGATTAGCTTGGCAATATCAACCCTGGGGATTTCAGGCTGGTGTCCAGTGCAGGGAGAATACAAATGAGTTGTTATTTCCAACTTCTTTGAGGGTATCCATATCTGATAGCTCAGATTGACTCATGGATTACAGTCAGAGTTGATCTATCGGGGGGTTTTATTGTTCCAAGGACATAAATAGGAGACCTTTAATTTTAAAGGCATCTTTGTTGTTTGAGTGGATCTAATATAGACTTAGCCCCTGGAAATTGCGAATTCAACCTGGTTTTGACCTGCTGGTCCTGAGAGGAGCTACTTAATTCGTGTGAATTCATATTTCTCCAGCAATCTGACTTTTGAGATGACTAAACATTCCTTTTTCCTCTGTTGCAGTATGTAAATATGCTTGTCACAAGAAGTGCTGTCTTAAAACCACAACCAAGTGCTCCAAAAAGGTAAAGATCTCTCATTCCTTTTGTTTCATGAAATACCTTCCAGAAGGTGATCCCAGGTTTGTATAAACATTCCTGGAGGTGCAGAACTTGATATAATGCTGGCAAATAACCCTCCTTTGAGCAGGAGCTTGGACCACAAGTCCCTGGAGGTGTCTCCAAACCAGCACTTTGGTGTTTGTGTGTATTTTGGGAACTACGCAGTGATGAGTCACTGTCTGCCCAGTCATGCAGCAGCTGCTGCAGTGTTGTTCCCTGCCTTGTAACCACACTGAAAAACTGGAAATTGCCACGTTTTTTGGTGTTTAAGGGTTTGGAAATGTGGGGTGACTCTTGGAAATGCAGTTTGTTGTTCACCCCACTGGTCCTGCTCAGGCTCATGGTGGCAGTGAGTGAGGAAGGGGCAGGTGGAGGATGCTCAATCACTCACTGTCCTCCTGAGAGTGGAATCAAATCTTGTGTACTGGATTTAAGGATGTGGAGGACAGGGAATGAATGCAGCAGGTCACACTGGCTAACAGTGAATCAGCAAGATTTGATTGGGTTTCTTTTAAACAGCTTATTTTGTGCCCAAAGGAAGGAGGATAGAGCCAGGACAGTAACGTGTGCAAAGCTTTGTCACTCCCTGTGAAGCTTCTCGAGGAGATAACCTCCACAACACACAGCATGAGTACATTTATCCCAAGAAATAATCTCGATATATACATTGAAGATAAATATATGTTTGAATACATTTGTATTTTCA